ACTTAACCAGCATGGAAAAAGTAATTGCCCCCTTACACTCAATAACTGGTTGTGCCACCTTTAGCTGCAATGACTCCAACCAAATGCTTCCTGTAGTTGTTGGTCAGTCTCTCACGTCGCTGTGGAGGAATTTTGGCCCACTCTTCCATGCAGAACTGCTTTAACTCAGTGACGTGTGGGTTTTCAAGCATGAACTGCTCGTTTCAAGTCCGGCCACAACATCTAAATTGGGATTAGGTCTGGACTTTAACTAGGTCATTCCAAAACTTCCAATTTGTTGCTTTTTAGCAATTTTCATGTAGACTTGATTGTGTGTTTTGGATCATTGTCTTGCTGCATGACCCAGCTGTGCTTCAGCTTCAGCTCACAGACGGATGGTCTGACATTCTCCTGTAGAATTCTCTGATACAGAGCAGAATTCATGGTTCCAGTAATGCCTGGCGAAAACCAAACTCTGCATTCCACAGTAAGAACATCATACCAAAGGTCAAGCATAGTGGTGGGGGTGTGATGGTTTGGGGATGCTTTGCTGCCTCAGGACCTGGACGACTTGCCTTAATAGAAGGAACCATGAATTCTGCTCTGTATCAGAGAATTCTACAGGAGAATGTCAGACCATCCGTCTGTGAGCTGAAGCTGAAGCACAGCTGGGTCATGCAGCAAGACAATGATCCAAAACACACAATCAAGTCTACATGAAAATAGCTAAAAAGCAACAAATTGGAAGTTTTGGAATGGCCTAGTCAAAGTCCAGACCTAATCCCAATTGAGATGTTGTGGCAGGACTTGAAACGAGCAGTTCATGCTTGAAAACCCACACGTCACTGAGTTAAAGCAGTTCTGCATGGAAGAGTGGGCCAAAATTCCTCCCCAGCGACGTGAGAGACTGATCAACAACTACAGGAAGCATTTGGTTGGAGTCATTGCAGCTAAAGGTGGCACAACCAGTTATTGAGTGTAAGGGGGCAATTACTTTTTCACACAGGGGAATTGGGTGTTGCATAACTTTGTTTATGAAATAAATATGTAATTGTTGTGTTATTTGTTCACTTATGTTCCCTTTATCTAATGTTAGGTTTTGGTTGAAGATCTGATAACATTCAGTATCACAAATATGCAAAAGTAGAGAAAATTAGAAAGGGGGCAAATACTTTTTCATAGCACTGTATATATATATATATATATATATATATATATATATAAAATATATATATATATATATTTATATTAAAACATACAATCTACTTGCAGTGAAGCCGCTCAACATTTACATCACATTCAGTCATCTAACAGACTCCCATCCAGAGCGAGGCAGATCTGCCATAAGGTCAAAAACGGAGACCCGAAGCAACGACCTATCGGCCACAGGCCCAAGGTCCCAACCGCCAGGCCACCAGCCCTCCAAGATCCCCCCCCCCCCCCCACAGTTCCCCTGAGAGCTGCCCCTCAACAAAGTCCCCCCCCCCCCCCCCCCCCTCAACTATGCTGTGATGTTTAACATACAATTTGAATCTATCTAATCAAATAGATTCCACAGATTGCGAGTTCAAGATAAATACTTTTACTAAGAGTATTGGTATATTAGTAATTGACTGACCAGGTCTCTCTAGATCTCCCAACAATGCTATTTCTAGGGTCAATTTTAGATTGTTATGCTTTTTCAGCCATTCCTGAACCTGAGACCAGAAACACCTGAGCTACCTGAGGGCAATCCCAAACCAGTTGTTAGACCTCTTTGCCTAAGCTTTTTATGTTTTTTGTTGTTATTCCTAGTTTTGCTTAGGCCTGTTGTTTATTTTCCAATATTCAACATGGATTATATCTTAATGGTTGTTTATCAATTACACCTACTGTAGTTGGAAAAAGCTTGTCCAGTTTTCCAATCGTTCTTTACTGATTCCACTTCCGTATTTCATCACTAGGTGGAGACATTGACCATTGTACCCCACTCCCTGAGTACCAACCTGTATGGTCTACTGCACCATCTCTCATTAGCACCACCAGCTGAAGAGTGTTTTCTCCCTAATTGTCTTCCCCATGCCCTGTATGAACTTGTCCATTCCCTTTATGATTATTCTAAAGAAGGACATTGAAGGCTGAAATGCAAATCTTTTAAACGTAATAAAACTACGAGTTTTTAAAGGTGAAGTAGCGTTGCACCTTTTCCTTTCCAATTATGTTTACACATTTTTAGGTTACACCTCGACTCATGTTGTTTGAGCACCCTCTACTTCTTACCACTTACTTACTTAGTTATTTTTTTGTAATACATGTGGTCAGTGGCGATTTTAGCATGTAAATCTTGGTGGGGCAAACAAAATAAAATAATGTGGGATGCATGCCAGCAAAGCCACTACACTAAACACTAAACAATACATTAATTGCACTATAACGGTGACAAAGAGTGCCCACAAACTGTTAGGGCCTACATTAAGCTGTCCCAACAGCAGTCCCAACATCTTACCACTGCTACACCTGGCTATCAGCGGAGCCTTGTCTGGCAGCAAAACAGTTCATTCAGCCTCATTTACTGCCTTTAAAAAAAACAGCTGATATGGCTGACTTGCTTAAACAAATGTGGTTTCTACTGACAATTGAGATGTACAAACTATGGCTTGAGGGGATGACAAGCGGACAAGAGGCAATCCGTAATTTCGACTAAGACATTAATGAGCGAGCTAGGACGGACGTAGTCAATTTAACTATTTGTTTAGCACTTTTGAAATGTACAGCGACAGAATTCAGAACATGGGCCGTTCTTACAGTGTTCCCCCTGTACACCAAGTCAGAACCGTAGGATAAATAAAGGGGGCATATAAGCAGACAATGAAAGCTCTTACAATATTCAATGATTACATTTCTCTAAAACAGGTTATAGGCTACATGTGCACCACCATGTCAGAACAGTAGGCGAAATTAAGAGGGGAAAAGGGACCAAATTATTAGGGTGAGGCACATGGGCTACTAACAGCTTACTACACAACATACACTTAGTATTACTTTCTTAGCTACAGTATACATATCTCCCTGGCATATTACATCATTTATGCAGCAGCATACGATACATTTTTGGACTCACCTTGTTGTGCTCACATGAAATGGAAGGTGGCGCGGCGGTCCTTCGTGGGCAAATTTTGTCATCAAAGTCTGGCGACCTCTGGATTCATGATGCTTTCAAGACAACAGGGATCTCGGAAAGAAACAAGGTCGAATCATGATGACGTCAGTGATCTTCAGGTCGTAGCTCTAGAAAGAGGCCCGGGTTCCGGATTTACAATTCCGAGTTGGATGACCGTTCAAAACGTATTTTCCCAGTCGGAGCTCGTTTTTTCCAGAGTTTCCAGTTGTCTTGAACTCACTGAAGTTAAGTTTTCGCAGTTCCGAGTTAACAGTTGTTATCATCAATCATGCTTCATTGACTGCATGGACAATGTTGAATGTTTATCATTTCAACCTTGGAAAAGAGACCCTTAATCCCATGTTTGGGACCACACAGCCACTCCACTGAATAGCAGGCTAGTGACTGCATTGCAATGCTTGCAGTTAGACACTGATTTCTTCCAAACCACTCATTGTTGAATTTGCGATTTCCAACTTGTTGTGTAATGTTTATGTCCAATGGACGATGAGCACCGATACGTTTTATCTATAATTTCTCTTCATTATTTCTCTTCATATGACAAGGATTAAAAAAGGATTTGCCAGTATATTGTCGACTTGATTGCTAGCTAAGATTTTGAAAGTATGATGTTGACATGATCAGTCCAATCAAAGCTACTGTAGATATAACGTGATTTGACGTCATTTTATTTGTGGCCAATGACCTTGAGACTTCTTGGATGGGCACTTCTAATGTAACTCTATGGCAGCACATTTACATTTACATTTTAGTCATTTAGCAGACGCTCTTATCCAGAGCGACTTACAGTTAGTGAATACATATATATATATTTTTTATACTGGCCCCCCGTGGGAATCGAACCCACAACCCTGGCGTTGCAAACGCCATGCTCTATCAACTGAGCTACATCCCTGCCGGCCATTCCCTCCCCTACCCTGGACGACCCAAGGGGCTTGAATTTACGAGCTCTACCCTTGGACTTGGCGATGATGTAGTGTCCCCATGAGTGACAGAACACAGAGCCAATCACCAACAGCTATGCTCAGTATTTTCCGCTGGCTGCCCCACCACCACAGAAAGCACTGAGCTAGGCTGAAACACCTGCATTTTGGAGCTGCCTTACTCAAAAAAGCAAAAATGATTTTTTTTTACATTGTTTGCAAACTGATATGTGACACGTATTAATGCCAAAATAACAGGCAAAACAGGCAAAACGTGGGGCTCACCTGCCCTGAATTACGGGTCGCCACTGACTGTGGTATATGGTCTGCTATGCCACAGATTTCAGCCAATCAGCATTCAGGGCTCGAATCACCCAGTTTGTAGGCTAATTGTAAATAAATCCCTTATGATCATGTGCATAACTATAGATAAATCTAACAGGAGTGTTTTGAGGGATGTAAGTTGGACAGAGGATCTCGAAATCTCTGTGCAAGAAACACTTGGACGAAAAAAAAAAAAGAATGTTAGGCAATTTTATGGCAATTGTGACTTTATTATGTGCCAGATGTTAGGACTACAAAGCGTTATAAATGGCCTATTTGGGAGATTGACTAGTCATTTAAATAGGTATAGGCTAGGTCTACTCACTAAAATCTGGATGTATGATTGTAATTAAACTTTGTCAGGGTTTGGTTCCCCCGGTAGGCATACATCTAATTTCAGATATTTTAAGACTATTTAATCCATTTTAGAATAAGGCTGTAACGTAACAAAATGTGGAAAAAGTCAAGGGGTCTGAATACTTTCCGAATGCGCTGTAATTGATGTTATCTGAAGTTTGTTCATGGCTACGGCCAGCAAAACACTGCCCCTGGGGGTTTCCCAAGCCGTGATGTAAGGGGATTTCCACCCAAATAAACAGCTAGTCAAATCCATCCAACAACTGCGGAACTAAACGCTCAATCGAACAGGGCGCATGTGAGGCAACTCATTTTACCCATAACATATTCACGAGCTCATCGCTTACTCGAGAGGTAGACTTTGTATGCTTTTTAAAAACGAAAGGCCAATTGAAGCATATCGAAGAACGAGAGCGAATAGTGAGGAGAATATTTGATTGCAGAAGCCTACCATGGCCACGAAATGATCGGTCAGGGGAAATAGGACAGAATTGTTTTTGTCTGGTTTTTTTATTTTTATAACTAGAACAAGCTTTTGACCTCCAGGACAAACAGCGTAACGTGCCATGAGAAACATGAGTGTTGAAAACGGCACTTCAAGTAAGTGACTTTTCTTTTACATAAACTAAATCTGAGTTATGCATCTACGGTGTCAGATCTGTGTTGTCCCACGACATTAACAATGGCATGGACAGTAGCATAATTTCCATACATTATTTATCCACATAATAATGTAAACGCATTGTCACGGGTCTGTGGCAAAAAGGGGACTGACTGCAGGGACCCAGACAAGTGATGCTACAGTCTAAACGGCACACACTTCTATGCTATTCAATTGGCAGTTTGTGTTGTATTTCTGTCTTCCCCAGCGTGACTGACAGTTGAGTAGAAGGGCCAACGCCCATTTCTGAGATGTTACACTAGTCTTAGGCGCTAGTCTTAGGCTCCCTTTTAAACCTATACTATTACATTGTAATACATATACTTACCCGTTATACTTTTATAATATTACAATCATTGTCATAAATGTATATAGTCTTACCTGTTAAACTTTTACATTGTCAAAGTAATAATTCATGAGTTAACTAACTTTCTTCCCGCTTTGTACACCAGCAGTCGAGTTGGGTGAGTAGGCAATTTATTATTAATGTATATATATATATATTTTTTTTTATAGCTAGTAGTCCTATGCATCATGCTCATGGTTTAATGTAGCTGGTACTGTACACATACAGACAAAGATCACACTCAGATGGCCTACACACCAGCTCAATGTTTGCAGTCCCCATCAGCATGTTTGCAGTGCCCATCAACATGTTTGCAGTCCCCATTAGCATGTTTGCAGTGCCCATCAACATGTTTGCAGTCCCCATCAGCATGTTTGCAGTGGCCATCAACATGTTTTCAGTCCCCATCAGCATGTTTGCAGTGCCCATCAACATGTTTGCAGTCCCCATCAGCATGTTTGCAGTCTCCTCATCCCACTCCCTCTACTTTTTAGACATCATTCAGGAGATGATCTCTGCAGACAGAGGATTTCCCTGTCATGCCCCGTCTGGTTTCTGCCTCCCTGGACCTCCTCATCCCCCTGTAGACCCTGACCACCAGGCCCAGAACCACAGGGTCATGCCCAGGCAGACCCCCTCCTCGACGCCCCCAGTACTGGTGCCAAGGGGCACGACCTCCAGGGTGAGTACCAGGCCTTTCGGGATCTAATCCAAAAATATATTCAGCCACTCTTGGAGGAAAATGTATGTTCAATAAACTATAAACTACTACAAGCGAGAGTTTTTGTTAGGCCATTGATTCATAGAGTTCAATAGAAAAACAGAGGTTGACTTGTAGTTATTGTGTAGTGGTTAGTTAGTGATTTGTTATGTTTCTGCAGCCACTCGGTTACTCTTTATGGTCGCATCAGTTCACACTGTCAATGCTTGGTATCTCAGTTTGTTGTAATAGCTGGGAGATAAAGTCATGTAAACAGCTAATGGGTTGATCTGAGGTCTTATCAGGGATGTGTGCTATCGCTTCCTCATGGGCTAGTGGTGGGAACCAAGGCAGACAGACACACCTCAGGGCTAAGTGAAACTCAACTACTTACTGTTTCCATGGATAAGGAATGTGCACAACAGCGAATAGCGTGGTGACTCGATTCACTGGTTCTTTGACTTCTAAAGCGGCCTTGATTACCTTGTTGTTAGCCTTGGGTTGCTGTTCTCTAATAGTCTGGAACTCAGTGAGACAATTGTGGTCGGTATGTCTGTGAGTCAAAGTGGTGCCTTCGAATAGACTGTGAGCTGAGTTGACACACCCCTGTCTGCATGTTGTGGCCTCTTGTGGGGGAGGTGGCAGAAAAGGAGAGAGAGCGTAATCTGATTCCTACTTTCGTTTTGAGTTCCCTTCCTTCCGGCACCCAACCCTTTCAGGGTGGAAGTTCACATTCTGAGGCTTTTCTGCTTTTCTAATTGGTCGATCTGCTGTAGATCATGTAAACTTCCTGTTTCCTGAGCATGCTCCTCCCGGCTCGATCCTAGCTGCTTTTGTGTAGAGGCTTTAAGGCATGCCCATACTATCATGCTTACACAGACATACACACCGCCTGGAGCACAATGATCTCACACGCACCTCTTTTTGTTCATACAGCCTTATCTACTTATGTCGGTTTGTTTAGACAGACTTGAGTTGTAGGGCGGCTTGTAATAACAAAGGGAAAAGGTGATCCCTTAAGTCAGTCAGCTTGTTTTTCTTTGTTCCAGTTTGTTTTTGGTGAATCGTTTTTCCTGTTGCTGGTCTCTAGGGATTCTTCAAACGGGCTATTTATTAGAAGGTATGTGGTTGAACTTGGAGAGTGAAGGGCAAGGTGTGTGTGAGAGAAATTGCTTCTGTCTATAATGACCACAGGCCGTTTTTTAAATTTATATAAGTATACTACTTTGACTTATACAAGAACCCAGGAAAAATGGGCAGACACCGAGAGAGCTAGAGAGATGGAGGCATGAAGGATGAAAAACAGTCGCCTGAGAGGGTGGAAGAGAGACGGAAGTATAGAGGGGTTAACCAAAAACGGAAGAGGTGCTCTCTAGTTTAACGGTTGAGTGGGGGGCATGGCAACAAAATGTGTCAAATGAGGACATAGAAAGTGGTGTACTGAGAGAGAATATGTAGATAAACGATAGCAATGCAGGGTATCTTTGAAAACGCCCTCACCATTTTACTCTCAGTACCATCATGATGTTGTTTTGGATACAAAGTTAACTGTTTGTTGTCTGCTGTGTTCTTGACATAGATTTTTAAACATGGCCACTGACTTTAAATGATGTCTCTCCGCAGGCGCCCTGCTTCTTCCCTCAGCCCCAGCACCCCTCTAGCACCAGAGATATGGCAGCAGCTGACCCCACTCGTGGGGTTTCCCATTCGGGCTCAAACCGACGAGGACGGGGGTCCTCTGGTTCAGGGACTTCCACGGGGGCCAGAGGGTCCCTCTCGACAGGCCCAGACAGACACTGATCCGCTGGAGCAGATCCTGGAGAGGCCCACCCTGGCTGTGGTGGAGCAGCCCAAGGAGAGAGGCATGAGGTTCCGCTATGAGTGTGAGGGCCGCTCGGCTGGGAGCATCCTAGGGGCCTCCAGTGGGGACTCCAACAAGACCCTGCCTGCTATAGAGGTACCCAATATATCCAAATTGTATTTGCCTTTATTTGAAGTTGATTGGAAACACTTTAATTTACAACAACAATTTAGCAAAGTTGCAGTTAACACCCATACTCTTGTGCTAACTTACATCTTTCATCATGACCACTCAGTCAGAACCTTGGTTAGAATATTTGTTTACTGCAAATTGTGTCCCCAATGTCATCCCTAACCTGCACTGGATTTGTATGTTTGTGTGGGAAGTGGAAGGGGGTTAACGGAATGTACCATCTATCCCAGAAAAAAGGTGTTTCCCCCTTGTTGGTTTGGCTGCCCTCAACATGTAGAGCCTTGCAAGTGTAAGGAGCAGGGTCCGAGGAGAAGGGGGGAAGGGGGAGGAAATGAATGTAACTGAAATAGAAAGTACCCCACAAATCCACATCTTTGTGTGGTTCAAACTAAGGGGATTTACCCCCCCTTAAACACTGTTAATTCACACCCACATACTAAAATTCAGACCGCATCTCTCTAAGATTAACACTTCCAGACAAGTGCGAAGTTTGACATTTGAAAGGGAGTGGCACTGAATACGTTTCGGTTATTCACCTCGCATTTATTCCGTTTTAATCATGCTCTCACTTGTGTTGGAGGAAGGAAGACGGTTTGATTGATGCATGTAGTATCTCTCTCCTCCTCCTCTTTCTTTGTCCCTCTCCCCACTTTCTCTCCCCATTTCTTTCTCTTCTTCACATTCTTTCCCCCTCTCTCCTCCCTCTTTCAGCTCCAGGGTCCCATTCAGCACATAAAGAAGGTGATGGTCACTGTTTCCTTGGTGACCAAAGACTACCCGTACCGCCCACACCCCCACTGCCTTGTGGGTAAAGACTGTGCTGATGGTACCGGAATCTGTGTCATCTGCTTTAACCCCCACAGCAACCGACGTCACAGGTACCCCTCTCTTTCTCTCCTCTATTAATCACTCTCTTTTCTTAATTTTCTCCCTTTGTCCACCAGAGGCCCATATCCTCTTTCTTTTTCATTCATCATTCACCGTTTTGTGTGTGCTTTGCCAGGAAAGTGCACTGGGTTAGTGTAAACATGTCTGTTTTTAATGGTTGGTAACCGACCATGTTTTGTGTGCATCTTGCAGTTTCGCTAACCTGGGCATCCAGTGTGTAAGGCGGAAGGAGCTGGATGCCTCACTAGAGAAGAGACGGAATCAGAAGATCGACCCCTTTAAAAGTGAGTAGAGCCCTGACACGCACATTAAGCACACATAGAACTTACCCAATTGCACAAATCCAATATTATTGTACAATAAAGTTGTATTGTCATTAGCGGTAGGGTAATATTCTCTCCTCTGTCCCCCAGCGGGCAACTCTAAAAGCATCGAGGACATGGACATGAACGTGGTGCGGCTGTGTTTCCAGTGTGAGCTGGAGTGGGCGGATGGAAAGAGGGACTTCCTGAACCCCATAGTGTCCAACCCCGTCTATGACAAGAGTAAGACCACCCCCCTCCCTCCCTACCAAACATCCTCCTGAAGCTGACACTACCACCTATACATGACTGCTTTTACATAGTCCTCAAACGTGATACGAACCAGTACAGTAAAACCACAGCTATGTAAATGTACTTCCTTCCTGAACGATCCGGCAGGTGCTCAGTGTGTGTGTGTTTACAGAGGCGACTACCACATCTGAGTTGAAGATCAACCGTCTGAACATTGTAAAAGGGCCATGCACCGGCAAGACTGAGATCTACATGCTCTGCGACAAAGTCCAGAAAGGTGAGATGCAGCCAGACCCCAAGTTGTAATATACAAAGGGGAAGTAAAATCCTGTTAAAACAACTAAATGGAAGTGATACATGATGTGTAATGACACCTCTCAGGAAATACACTGTTGAAGTCAAACAGCTTGGAGGACTATACAAGCTGATTGGTGTGTGTGTGTTGCCCACTCAGACGACATAGAGATCATCTTCAAGCGGGGGTCTTGGGAGGCCAAGGCGGAGTTTGCCCAGACGGACGTCCACCGGCAGATCGCTATCGTGTTCAAGACCCCGTCCTACCAGGAACAGGACGTGGGGGAGGAAGTGGAAGTAAAAGTCTTCCTGCGTCGTCTCTCTGACCACATGGACAGTGACCCCGTCACGTTTACCTACCAGCCCGACAACACAGGTTGATACAACTTCTGAATGTTATAAATGATATCATAATGCTGTGTTATAACATGTTATGTGATATTTTCTCTGTTTTGATGCCGTGTTCAGATCCATATGAAGTGAAACGGAAGAGGAAGATCAAGACGGACATCAGCTTCACAGAGAGATCCTGTGTGGCAGGTGAGGATTGGCCTCGGCTCTCTCTCTCTTTCCAGCCTAAACCTCTGCTACCTATTGCAGAACAGAAAGTAAAAACGAAAGTGAAAGAGAGAACAATGAAGGATGCTTACGCAGCACCCTCTCAAAAACACATGACCGCACATCTGAGTGTCAATAAGGGGATCTAACGCAAGTCCTTTCTACCTCCCACAGCTCAGAATGTGGCTGCAGAATCCTCCACCTCCCAGCCATTCGAGCCGTTCACCTTCACCCCAGCAGAGAGCCGGCTGGTCCCAGAGGAGTTGCATCCTCCTGCCCAGTCTGGGGCCTCCACCATGGAGGAGATCCACTACAGTGACCCCCAGGAGGACAACTTCTTCAACGAGCGCATGAGCCCAGAGGACATGAGTGTTCTCTCTCTACTTCTGGAGCCCCTGTTCTATGACCCTGCCCTCCTTAACTTTGGCCCGGGGCTCAACTCCAACTTCGCCCCAGGCGGCATGGACATGAACTTTAACCTCAACCAGGGTGGGTCTGGGCAGGACTTGGGCTACTATAACGACCTGCAGTTCAACCAGCTAGTCAACGATAATCAGGCCTCTCTGATGGAGCTCCCCTCACTGTCACTCCCCGGCTCCGCCCCTCAGGACCAGGGCCAGTGTGATAACGAGGGGTGTGATTTGGTCCAGTTGAAGACAGAGGGGGACCTATGAGGGCAAAACATACCCCCTTAATACTGAATGTGGCTTGAACGTAGCCCCTGAACTTTAAGGGGCTTTTGTTGTGTTGCTCCTCAAACCAGAAGTTTAGGGTGTGTAGGGACCTAACTCTGTACCCTGTGACAGTCCTCTCACCCAAACAAAGTACAGTATGAGTTTGGCCACACTGGTAATAGCAGTAGCTGAGGCACCTTGTACCCTAATGGTGTGGTTACCCCTTACCCCATAGGCCTCGCTGGACGAGGCTATAATCCAGACCCCCGTCCCCCCTTCCCACACACGACCACTACCAGACCCTAAAAGGATACATTTCAAAATGTCTGCCCAGACCCAAGCCTTTGAGTGTACTGTGTTGCCTTCACCATGCTGCTAACGTTAGCCTAAGGCTAATAGCCGTGATCAGCACAGCACTCACAGATGACATGTAGCTTTAGTGCCTCCAGGGGGACCAGAGTGATACTGGTGGAGGCAAGTTTCCCTTCCACTAGGCTAGCCATGGATGTTAAAAACGGTTCCTACCTACCCATTGTCAATACTACCTGTGGTGATTAGGGAACCATGCAGTGCTCTGACCAAGTACAAAATGGACACTCAAACTCAACTCTTGTCAACCTTGTCAGTTTTCCTTGTCAGGCTCCGTCCTTGTGGTTGAGGTAGACTTCCACAAGGACCTGCAGGAAATCCCTGAATTGAAGATTCAACTGAAGGAAATCATAACTAAGGGCTCAGTTCAATCCGTATCGCGGATGTTCAGCACTATTGCGCGATTGAAAATTAAAGGTAATTTCCGATTGAGCTGACATATGCACCGTTTACCATGAATGCAGTCTTTGCTAATGCGGCATCATTGCCTTAAAATTTGTATCACGTTGTAGCGTTGATCTTCCACACTACAGATTGAATCGAGCCCTAAGCATTTAACTGTTGGTGCAAGACAACCTGAAAACTACCCCTCTGTGGAGAAATTGTTAAGTGAAAGGGACAATCTGCAAATGCTGTTTATTTTTCACTTTCCATATGTGATATATTCTTTGTTGTATAGTCAAAGTTATTGTGTGTTGACTGGTATCTGTAGTTTTTCAATGTTGACATCAGTTTTAACCTCTGGCTCACTTGTTGACTCTGTTCATTGTAATAACCAATATCCATCCATGTACAGTAGAAACGGCCTTAGTCCAATGCGCTGTCCATCTGTCGTTCCTAGTGTCTACCTTTGTCTTGTTGCTGTAAGTGCTACTCAGTTAAACATGTCCAGTGCATGTTCAGATTCTTAACAGATTCACAGCTTCTTTGTATACTGTATGCCAGACCTCACCCTTCACACTGTAGCGTTTTGATTGTTGTCATTAGTATTTCAAAAATAAAATGATTGCAAGTCTTCATCTTAAACTCTGGTCACATCAAGTGCGTTTTGTTGTTGGTTGAATAGGCTATTTCATATTTATGACATGATAGGTTTTTACTCAATTTAAAAAGCAAACTGTCCAATGACAGAAAGGAGAGAGAAAGAGAGGGGGCTGTGGGAGAACAGGGTGCGTCTGCCTCCTGGGTCCATCATTGTGTTCAGCCTCAGCTGCTTTAAATGCTGACATTTTTTTGGGACATTTTTTAAATGCCATCCTACTTTTAGCTGCCAGCTTTTGTTGCGGGTCAGTCCAGCCCACTCATACTCCTAACGCCTCACTAACATTTACTCCAAAAATAACGTGACTTCCCCTAACCTCACCCACACAACATGCCCTGCTTGTACCTGACTTGACTGTTGTGACTTGAGAATTATTGTAAAACACAAATATATTATTTGTATTGTATGTAACTGGTGTTTTACCTAATGTAAAAGCAGAAATGCTCTTATATTAGCTCTTATCTTCCCCTTTCTGGGGAAGATGTCAATGTATTTATGGCTTTTTACCTGATGAGCTTACATCACTGCATCACTCATTCTCCCATACAGCTTGTGTGTAGCGCCGCTGAAACCTGTTCTCGTTTTATTTTTAAGCATTTCTATTTGGATGTGTTCAGTTTTTGCTGAGTCAGAGGAGCATTATGGGAAGTTATAAGCCCACTGTAAAATCCCAATCGGCAGCAGTTCAAGCTTTCACCCAGGTTATGTTTATTAGGCACAAACAGTAACAATGTTTTCAAATATTTTTACAGGAGAGGTTTAGGTGTATGCTCCTTTTTTATGCCTACTGAACGCAACCCAGTGAAAGGCTACTATATGGCAGCAGACATTTCACTAGAGGCACAAATCACGCCACCCTTATCTGCTGAACGGCACAAACCTGAACGGATCTCTCTTTACAGGTCCATGGTGAACAATATGATGACGTACGTTTGTTTAATAAGCTCAATAATAACATAGCAGTTGAATATCCCAGTTAAAAGGTGTCACTTTGTTCCTCCTGTAGACTTACAGGGCCAGTCTGAGCAGTTGTATCTCACAATGTGCTTTTCACTGTTGACCAACACTGGAAAAAGCGTGACATAAAGCCACAGGGAAACTCCACACTGGGCTCACAGCCAAAAGTTTCATTACCATATGTACACACAGTTAGTCACACCCTGATGAGTATTAGCAGTAACTCTATATACATCACATACTTGACTATAGTACATTTCATACTTGACTAAAGTACACACACTCGCATTAATGGCTTTATTTCTATAGTGTTATATTCTAAATAAACAGAGTAAAAACTCACGGACTACTTGTAAAGCTCAAACCAAGTTTATTCACCCACTGGGTCACACAGCTGCATAAGACAAAGACGTTCCCACCAGCACAAGTATTTATACCCCACTTTAGGCGGAGCGGAGTCTCCTCCTTTTCTCTAAACATTAGATATTTGTTGCTAGGCAGGAAGTTAAGTGATATGGGTAATAAACTGTTCCTTCTCCCTTCATGTGACTTGACCTGACCTGACCTCCCTAGCACCCAACATCTCCAATGACATCCTATGTTCTGCTACAGTCGGTACCTGTGGATAATACTTTCCTGTGCTTAGGTTAGGTCACATCGCTAATCCCAAGGCCGATCTACAACCCACCCCTTTGTGACCACCCTCGTTACAGTGTAAACTTTGGGTCCCAACGGTTGATAAGCAGCCACCTTCTGACACTTTCCGTTTACCGTCACTCAGTCCTAATCTTCTGGGAGATGTGTTACGTATTTGCTGGCTGTTATGAATGGGGGAGATATTAGTGGCGTTGGAAGCGTATCCAACCTTACAAAACTCTGAGTCACATGCTTCTTAATCACACTCTTCAGGATGTGATGCTATTATTATAGCAAACTTCCCTCAGATATCATCTAACCCATAACACATTAGTAACTACTGCTACTCAAATAGTCAATTTACAAAAATAGGCCTACTGTACATGCTCAAGTTATTCCTGCTTTGGTCTGAATTCACTTAAAAATTAGCTCAGCAGCTTTAGAAAAGAATTTGCATACTTGGTCAGAAATTAACTTTGGGATTTTGAAACACGTAAACTTCCCATTAATTCATGCAGAAGAGCTTTTCCAAGTATACAGATTAGTCATAAGAAAGCATAGACATGAGGTTACCTTGTAGTGAGTGTGACCTGCACCTACCCTCTCAGTGGGGTTATTCCCTATAGTATAAGGACAATGGTGGGAAGACAAAGGGAGTGACCGAATACAAAGCATTGGCAGCTAATAAGGGACTTGGATATAGAAATTCCCCATCTGTAAAAATGCTGATTAAGGGAGTTGAAATGTCCTATGTGTGGCCATTCAACAATCCCCCTATCTCCTCCTCAAACCATTGATAGATCTTACTCACACATTACTTACTGCATGTTCTGCAAATGTGTTTGAATGCAAATGAGAATGTGTGACATAACAAAGTCAACGTCTAACCTTTCCTCTCTCCACCTTTTCTGGTGTTAAAACATAACCTACGTGTGTGAGACAATTTGAATCTTTGTGACATGTTATTCAATATTTTTGTAGAATATATAGAAGGAATTAAAACTAAATTCTCCTAAATGTGGAACGATTAGATCATTTAAATAATGTTGAAGGATGAAACTTAATTACTGTATAACAGAATTACAGGAGTGAAGTTTGCTATAAGGATGAGCGACGATGAGGCCTGGTAGTGGTAAAGACTAAGACGGTTTCCTTTGCACTCCATCTTAGCAGACTCTTTACTGCTCCCTAGTGGTTTCGGACAGGGTTGGGGCGTAACGGATTACATGTAATCAGGTAAATGTAATCTGATTACAAACAACTGTAATCGGTTAGGTTATCGGCAAAAATATTGTAATCAGATTACATATACTTTTGGAAAAACTAGATTACTTTTACATTCCAAAATGATGTTTGCAGAAAAAATACACTGACACCTTTATTTTTTCTCAATGACATTCAATTCAGCATTAAAAAGACGCGCAAGTTTGTTCCACCTGAGCGAGTCTGACCACAAGTCATAGACCACTATGATGGATCCTTTTTGTCTTCTTCTAATGCCGCTTAAGGGGAAAGTAATCCAAAAGTAACTATCCAAAAGTAACTGACAGTAATCCGATTACGTTACTGAGTTTAGGTAATCCAAAAGTGACGTAACTGATTACAATTTTGGACAGGTAACTAATAACAAACAGATTACATTTAGAAAGTAACTTACCCAACCCTGGTTTGGAATCACTGAATGTTGATGGCCCTATACAGTGGGACTTTGCAGCTGTAATTTATCATGTGCCACATGAACACAACCAGTCACAACGGCTGCATCTACACAGGCAGCCCAATTCTGATCTTTTGCCCAGTTATTGGCAAAATAACTGATCTGATTGTTTAAAAGACCAATTAGTGGCAAAATATCAGAAATGGGCTGCCTGTGTAAATGCAGTCTAAGGTGTTGCTGTGGTTTAGAGATGGCCTACATAGATGTTTCTCTGGGGATCCAAGGGAATTCTGGCCTGGTAGGCTGACTTCTGAATTTAGCTGATAGTGTTGTCACCTCATAAACCACAATGGTTACAATAGAGGGAAAATGTGAATGCAAAATGACTCAACTTTCATAATGAACAGTCCCTCTAAAACAAGTAGACCAAACACCAGGAACAAAATTGAGTTGCCTTTTTTTGCCCTCAGAACAGCCTCAATTCGTCTGGGAATGGACTCTGCAAGGTGTCGAAAGCGTTCCACAGTGATGTTGGCCCATTTTCACTCCAATGCTTCCCACAGTTGTGTCAAATTGGCTGGATGTCCTTTGGGTGGTGGATCATTCTTGATACACACAGGAAACTGTTGAGCGTGAAAAACTCAGCAGTGTTGCAGTTCTTGACACAACCTACTACCATACCCCATTCAAAGGCACTTACATCTTTTGTCTTGCCCACTCACCCTCTGAATGGCACACATACACAATCCATGTCTCAATGGTCTCAAGGCTTAAATATCCTTCTTTAA